ACTAATTAAAACATTTTCTCAACAGAAATTCCACCAGAGTTAGTGTACTTTAGTAAGTAACTGAGGTTTGTGCAGTTCAATACTGGTCAAATTTTAGCCACGTCATAGAAATGACGTTTTGAGTTAATAGTTTTGTAAACATGGTGTTTATACATACCTTGCACAACTCCTTATGTTTGCTTTTTTTACGACTGCCTGTAAGTAATCTGTCCATTTTTACATCAGTTTACTTAGAGGGATTATCCTAATTCCCTATATTATTCTACATTGTATTTGATTTAGTGTTTAATCGCATTATCATCGGGCAGAGCTTATCTCGTAAAAAGTAACTAGTTAGTCAACTAATTTTAAGTGAAATAAAATGCACAGGCATTTTTTTTTCTGTACGTTATTTAAGGGTTTATTTGGTGTAACATTCAACTCGCTGGAGTCATCATCAGGCATAATTTTGCAAGAGTAGGCTTAGTTATACTGTTGTTAGGGTAGGTCAAATAAACCGCCAAACACATTGTAAAACACGTTTATGCATTTCATTTATTTATAATCCCACGTTCATTATGAGTTTCTTAAGTCATGAAAACTAATGTTTAATTCTTGATGTGGCTGATGTTAAGTGTTACATCATGTTTCAACTATTCAGTTATCGTGCACGCACATTTGGTCACTTCTGTTATTACCCTTTTTCAGCGAGGTGTTGCTTAGTACTTTATGTTTTATATCTTTTTTTTTTCCTGGAAGGTAGAAGGCATACACGTGCATACGATACTCTGGTTTTCAGTTTCTCAAGACAGCATAATGAAATACTCAAATGGAAGAAAATATAACAGGAAGGTAGACAAGTTTCACTCTTCTTCTCGAAAAAAAAACTCTTCAGGAGAGGAATCTTATGCGCTTCTCGAAGAAAAGGCTCAGCAGGAATGGAATCTTACTTGGTACATAAAAAAGGGGATCAGCAGGAATGGAATCCTACTTGCTACATAGAGAAAGGGGCTCAGCAGGAATGGAATCCTACTTACTACATAGAGAAAGGGGCTCAGCAGGAATGGAATCCTATTTGCTTTTGTTTGCCTTTCATGTGAGATCTTTTGTTAAAGTTGTTAACCTTTCTCACTTGTCCAAGATAATGTAAATAGCTGTTTTCTATGATTAGGCAGACAGACGAAAGTCTAGTGTACATTGTGGTACCACTCTAGATTGGGGTACTACTCCTATCGCAACCCTTCTCAGAGATGTCGTGTGGAGCCTGCCACATTTCCTGTCACCTTTCCTTCAGTAGAAGTGGTTTCCTGTTTTTGATTTCCTGTTCTTTTGTTGACTATCAAAAAAAAAGCTATTATATAACTGTACTTCCTGAATATTGTTTATCTTGTTCCAAGTAGCATGAAAATACCTTGTTGTTGTATAATGAGTTCAAAATAGACCCTGCTGATAATACTTGTATTTGACTTACATGTAAATGATATATTAATAATAAACGTTTTTTCCCCCAGAAATGGTAACGCAGCAAGTTGAAGTCAACTGTATACGTGATAGAACATTCTAGCTTTACGTGATGTATCAGTAATAAGAAAACGACACAACGCAATGAACTTTATGAAAAGGTAACTTGTATCATTTATTTTTATTGAAACATTTAACTGGGATTATTTTGTGATGTGTTACATTTAACTTTGAAAAATGTTTCAGAATACAGGACTTTTCAAACATTTTAAAACGAACACAAAATTGACCTTGCGTATAGATTCCATTGCACATCAATAGTCTTAAAAAGTGTTATCTACGGATGTGCGGCATAATTCTTTCCTAATATATATATATTCAAACAGTTTCAAAAGCTATGCTTTTCTCCTGTTGTAAGCAATTACGACATGTTGAATCCTATTCAAATCAGGATAACACCACAATTTACTATGTTTATTATTAAGTACAAAGCTCTGCCCACCAAGGGTATCGAAACCCGGTTTCTAGCGGTATAAGTCCGCAGACATACCGCCGTGCCACTGGGGACCACAATTTACGAGCTCTAAATTATATCTAAGAAAATAATGCATGTTGCCAATTAGGTAACATTCAAAACTCTTAAAATCTAACTGGTCTTATTTAGTATGTCACGAAAAAATCATTTTCAATGCTTTATTAGTTTGAAAAATTCGAAATTGTTGTCTATGTTTGATACAGAATTAAGGTTTCCAAGATCATAAGAAAATTCATAGTTTCTCAGCCTACTTGATGGCAATTTAACAGCTTCAACTTAACTAGGTTTTGAAAACTTTCTTGTTACTATTTTGGGGAATGGTTTGTTGAATTGTAGCTCGACTGTGATCTGCTCTTCTTTTTACAGATAGGTTAATTTTTAAATTGTCCGGAATTAAGTTGAGACAATATTATTATACAACGTATACTAAAAAGATAGAAGAATAAAGTACTGATTCTACCCAAAGTCTCCATCACTGTGATGTATAGTTCAAACCCACTACTGTTCTTTACATGCGTTTATGTGTTACACCACAATATAAACTTAATGTGCTATAACAACAGTACTTTGATTAATCAGTAGTGAAGGTTAACTTAACTTGCTTTTGCTTCTTCTATCGTAGACAAACGACACGATATTTCCTTATACGTCATTTTTTTTTTGTAACATTGATTATATTAATGAAGACTTTAGATTGTTTTCCGAGTGGGTATTTCCTTCATTTGATGTCTTATAGACACACTATTATTACTGTCCCTCGGTGAGTCACAGGTAGATTGACGAACTTACAACGCAAAAATCCTGGGAGGCAGCTAGTCAACATCACCCACTACCAACTTTTGGTATCAGACCGCATAATTGAATTTCACTGTCAATATTATAGCGCACCAACGACCCCAAATTGTGGGGCGCTTTTGACAGGCCGCGAACCATGAACCCCCCTTCCCCGGATTCACGGTCCTAGAACATACAGACGTTTAGAATGAAGATTTCTAAATACTGCAGAAACATAAATAATTATGTTCGTTTATATCATGTTGACTTCGTACAAAACTATACAATGGGCTATCTTTAGTCCGTCCACCGCGCGGAGTCGAACCGTTCTAGTTTGTCAGTTCAGAAGTAGGGGCTGATTTGCACAATTATCCCTTTATGTAGCTTTGCGCGAAACTTTGAAACCAACAAGTAAATCGCTTGTGAAATACCAGTTTCGCGTCACACTATATCTCGTGAATTCTCTGTTAGTTTTCAATCTTGAATACAGGTAGTAACTTAATATAGGTGCTTCAAGCGTTGTCCATAAACTGCAAACAGACGCATAAAGCTCACACTTCCAGTAGTGATGTTTCTATTTAGTTACTTATTATGTGTAGTTAGAGTTCGTATCAAAAATTCGAATAAAAAACTCTAACATAATTTGAAATATCGATAGTAGGTTGTACTGTTGCGTTGATCACTGAAATTGAACTGTAAAGTATTAATATATGCCCTCCCCCCTCCCGTGGAACAGATAGACCATTGTGTAGCTTTGAGCTTAATTACACACATAAACAAAAGTATTAATATGCACAATTAAGAAACAGCTTTGTCTTGTAATCATCCTTTTTCTGGTACGTCCACCCACTGTTTTTGGGAAAATTCCATTTGTCTTACTCGTTTATGCTGTTATTTTTTTGAGTAATAGTTTGGAAATTTAGAATTTTGGTCTTTATGTCCTCCGTGTTGGATAACCCTATATAGTGCACTCACTATTTTCTGTTGGAGTAACCTTGCATTTAATTCGAAGTTTTATTTGTTTAAAAGTACTGTACTTACTTTAGTAATATTCACGTTGTTTCTTAGTATAAGACACGTGGGTTGCTAAACTAAACGTACTTTCGCGGGATAAGGCATAAAATACAACACGTTGATTGTTAAATTGAACGTTCTTTCTGAGGATAAGAGATAAAAACGTGGGTTAGTAAACTGTTCATTCTCTTTCATCAAGATGAGACCAAGAAATAAACGTGGGTTAGTAAACTGAACATTTCCCCAAGATATGACAAAAACACGTGGATTATTAAACAGAACGTTTTCTCATGATGAAAACACGTGTGTTGTGAACTGAACGTTTTATTAGGATGAGAGAAAAAAACACGTGAGTTAGTAAACTGAACATTTCCCCAAGATATGACAAAAACACATGGGTTATTAAATTGAATGTTTCATCGCGATGAGACAAAAACACGTGGATTATTAAACAGAACGTTTTCTCATGATGAAAACACGTGTGTTGTGAACTGAACGTTTTATTAGGATGAGAGAAAAAAAAACACGTGAGTTAGTAAAGTGAACGTTTTCTCAAGACAAGACAAAGAAAAAAACGTGGATTATTAAACTGAACGTTTTTTTTCAGGATGAGACTAAAACATATGGGATGAATAAAAAAACAGGTGAATTTAAACTGAATTTTCTGTCTGAGAATAAGACAAAACACGTTATAGTCGAACTTCAGTTTGCATTTATGGCATTCAAGCCCATTTTGTAGGAAGTACTATATTGAAGGTGGAAATCAAATTTTCTCCACATATATTTCGATTTTTAGTTCACATTAAATGTCACAAGCACAATAGACGATTACCATTGTTATGGTTACCGTGTGTGGAGTGTTAGTGTTTGCAAAATAAGGTGGTTTGCGCCGCTGCTGGTGACACAAAATATTGAGGTCAGGCCTCCGTCATTATTGGTTTATTCGTACTGCTAACAACAAGTCTTGCTCAAAGCGGTTGACATGGCCGTGGCCTTTAAATTCACGCCACCTGCAGTCCGCATTTTAACACTATGTGTAGCTGCTTTTTGTGTAAATGTTGACCTTTATCTTACGCTGCAGTAGTCAAAACATCATGCATTTACCAAACAATGAAGCACGCAACCTTGCTGTAATTGTATACACAGGTTTCTGACACTGTTATTTGATTAGTAATTGGTCAGTGACGTCATTTCTTCCCGCAGCTATTACAGTGGTGCAGAGAGATATTTAATCTGCAAAGCCTTGACATGTTATGATATATATGTCATGCCACGTGGGTTTATTTGGATTTATTTCACTAAAAGTGACCAAACTTGCAGATTGAGTGATCCGAGTTTAAAGTATTTCAAAGTAGTGCTTCTGGGCGGTGACCCCACCAGTCAAGTCCGGGTCCCTGGGTAGCAATCGGCCAATGGCAGCACCGTCTCTTTCACGGCCGTCCTGTCCCGGGCCAGAGAGCGTGTGACTACAGCCGTGTGGTATTATTGTTTAATACACTTGTCAACTTTCTCCCATGCCAAGAAGCTAAGTTACCAAAGCAGGTGAAGAACACCTGTAGAAGGTACGAGACAGACTAGTTAAGTGGAACTTTTGCCTCTAGCAAGCAGATCACGTCGTTGTTGACGAGAACCTACGAGGTCCTTGGGGGAGGCTCGACGATGAGTGCTGGCTCGACTTTAAACGTTATGGTTCCGTACCCTGGACTTCCGAAAAGGGAGTGTAAGTAGGTTTTGTGTGTGATTTGTAATATTATAACTTCTCTACGGTGCCCTTTTTTTTATGTATCAGTTATATCAAAACCAAGGCATCAGAAAGAGCATGTAATTTAAACTATTCCATGCAATAGATCATTGGCCGATGTGGATGAGCAGCTTTAGAATACAACTCTTAGTCTAAATTATACAAAACCAGACACAGTCAGACAGTGAACTAATTATATGTGCCATAGATATAAGAATACTCACGCCAAAGTCTGTGATAGGATGCTTTTACTTTGTACACTGCGATTATTGAAAGAAAAATTAGTCCGTGAATTATCATTAGTTGATTTTAATAATAGCTAATGATTGTTAATATCCAAAGCTGGATAAACAGGTTAACTTTTAAATTAACCACAATCCGTATCGATATTAACATGACTTAGTCGGCGCTAAAAAAAAATAACACTGAAATTCAAGTGTACATTTCACCTTTTTAAGGCCCAAGACCGTCAGACAACACTGCGCCCGCGGCGTATGTGAAACATTCCACTATTTTTTTTTTCAATCTGAGCCTTTCCTTCCCCCTTGCATAGCTTAAATTACAGACCAGCGTAGATTTACGGCGTTATTTGGGACTAACTCAAAACGATGAACTCCCTCTATGCGCGCGCGTGTATATAAGTTTGTGTGTAAAGACATAAACGTGATTAACTTATAATTTAAACAGAAGTAACGTCCGAAGTCAATTTAATATTTTTTATCATTGATATTTTCTGTATAATTAAAACATTCATTTCTATAGTTGGCTGAGTCTGACAACTGTTAAAAGACTAGATGAGCCAAACGAAACTTTTAACCATACGAACAGTTTCCTTTACCTTAGTGATTATCATATACCTCGATGTCAATCAACAAATGCTTGCCCAGAAAAGGATAACTATGGACATCTGATATCCTAATTACCCTTATGTCCTAAACAAACTAATTGTTGTTGAATCTGACAACTTTTCTTTCGACTCGACCTGTATTTGTTGAACATCGAATAACTTAGCTTACTTTGTGAGAATTGGGTTAGCAAGATTGTCACGGTTTGTGAAATGAATATTTAATTTTATGTCTGAAAGTATTGTGTGTGTGTGTGTGTGTGTGTGTGTGTGTGTATATATATATATATATATACACACTACTTTTTTTTTTTTTTTTTTTTG